TGACCTGGCTGAAGTCGGACGCCAACCAACTGCGCCACCCAGGCACCCCACAAAAAAAACTTTTTAATAAATAAATAAAAACTTTAATATGGTTTTACTCATTTCACTCAATCCACTAATTTCACAGTTTAAAAACACTTTAAAGGGGCACCTGGGTGGCTCTGTCAGTTAAGTGTCTGACTCTTGGTTTTGGCTCAGGTCACGATCTCACAGTTCATGAGTTCAAGCCATACATCAGGTTCTGCACTATCAGCACAGAGCCTGCTTAGGATTCTCTCTCTCTCCCACTCTCTCTGCCCTCCCCTGCTCACTCTATCTCTCAAAATAAATAAACTTTAAAAAAATTTTAAAAACACTTAAAAAAACAATTGATAAAGTAGGAACTTAAAAGAACTTGAGGGAGTTGCAAGCTGGTGAGATTTCTATCCCACACCAAGAAGATAAGGTTAAAGAAGAGATTTTAAATGGTACTTGCTTAAGGGCAAATTATTATGATTATTATTATTTTTGCTAATAATACCTACCTGTCTTAACTGAGATTCATCTCGAAGCTGCCTTCTGGCCTCGTTGTACATTTCATCAAGCCCCTGCCGAGAATGCTTATATGTTTGAAGCTCAGTTTCCACATCTACTTTGGTAACCTAGAAATAAAACATAAGTTTTTACTATTTAATCACTACTATTAATACAGCACAGAAATAAATATCCAGTCTATGCACAAGTCCTCCAAAGTGGCAATTTCTGACATAAGATGGTCTGTTTGCAATCAGTCTATACTTACCTCTAGGTTCTGCTGTGTTTTCATTAAAATCAATTTATTTTCACTTCGTAATTGATGATTTTCTTCTTGGAGTTTAATGATATTATTCTTTGCTATTGCTAACTAAAAATTACAAAACAGGGCAAGAAAAAGAATTTAAACACCATTACTTATACTTGCTTTACAGGTTATGTTCATGGCTATAAACAACAAAATATAAAATCCTAAAACTAGTCAAATGTCTCACATATACAGAAGTTTTCATAAGAAAAATACGCTATTATCCCAAGATACCAGTAAAAAAATTATACTCTTATTTCTACTATTTCCTTTTATTAGTCAAAATGTTAGTTAAAACATATTATGCTTATCTGATTTATAATATTTTCTGAATACAAAGTGCCAGGAAACAATAAGACTGTAAAGATCTGTGTAAAGACAAGATCTATAAGGAAAGAAGGCTGTGCGATCACTGAAAATGTGATACAGACCTTCACAATAACCAAATAGGACACTCTCTGAAATACAGGAATAATACTGAGTGACCATCACAAATATGAGACATTTCTCAACATCAGAGGTAACCATGAATGACTGAGTGGCTTGGCTCTGATGCCTAGAATGAAAAGAGGGATTCCAGGAAAGGAAAGCAGGGCCTACCCCTAATGTTGGCTTGCACATAAATTTCTGAACACTTCATCAGGGATATAACTTGAACTTTAGAGTGCGCCTAAGGCCAAGAAGAGGCACAAACTAGTGAGCAGCTCTCTCTAATGGTCCCCATCTATCAAATGGTGCTGATGGCCAACAAATGTGAAAAGATGCTCAACATCACTGATCATCAGGGAAGTGCAAATCAAAACCACGATGGCTAAAATCACCTGTAAGAATGGCTAAAATAAAAAACACAAGAAACAACAGGTGTTTACAAGGATGTGGAGAAAAAGGAAGCCTCAGGCACTGTTGGTAGGAATATAAACTGGCTCAGCCACTGGGGAAAATAGTATGCAGGTTCCTGAAAAACTTAAAAATAGAACTACCCTACCATCTAGTAATCACATTACCGGGCATTTACTAGAAAAAATACAAAAATACTAATTCAGAGATACATGCATCCCTATGGTTATTGCATTATTTACAATAGCCAAACTATGGAGGTGGCCCAAGTATCCACTGACTGATGAATGGATAAAAGAGTTGTGGTATATGGGGTGCCTCGGTGGCTCAGTCAGTTAAGCATCCAACTTCTGCTCAGGTCATGATCTTGCAGTTTATGAGTTGAAGCCCCACGCTGGGCTCTGTGCTGACAGCTCGGAGCTTGGAGCCTGCTTCAGATTCTGTGTCTCCCTCTCTCTCTGCCCCTCCCCCATTCATGCTCAGTCTCTGTCTGTCTATCTCTCAAATAAGTAAACACTAAAAAAAAATTTTTTGGGGGCGCCTGGGTGGCGCAGTCGGTTAAGCGTCCGACTTCAGCCAGGTCACGATCTCGCGGTCCGTGAGTTCGAGCCCCGCGTCGGGCTCTGGGCTGATGGCTCAGAGCCGGGAGCCTGTTTCCGATTCTGTGTCTCCCTCTCTCTCTGCCCCTCCCCCGTTCATGCTCTGTCTCTCTCTGTCCCAAAAATAAATAAAAAACGTTGAAAAAAAAATTTTTTTTTAAAATAAAAAAAAAAAAATTTTTTTTAAAGTTGTAGTATAATATATACAATGGAGTATTATTCAGTCATAAAAAAGAATGAAATCTTGCAATTTGCAATGACATGATGGATAGAGCCAGAGTATAATGCTAAGCAAAATAAGTCAGTCAGAGAAAGACAAATACAGTATGATCTCATTCATGTGGAATTTAAGAAACAAATGAGCAAAGAAAAAAAAAAACAAAACAGAGAAATCAAGAAACAGACTCTTAACTGTAGAAAGAACAAACTGATGGTTACCAGAGCGAAAGTGGGTGGGGGGGAAGGGCAAAACAGGTGATAGGGATTAAACAGTACACTTATGATTTAAAGAAAAAACTATCAAATGGTCCCAAACCATCAAAACAAAGATGCATTCTAAACTGCAATCATGTAAATAATCATGTGCTCTCTGATTTGGAAAAACGAGGCCACTTCTAAACTAACAATTTTAATTAACATAGAAAGTAGGGTTCATAGCACTCGTAACAGATTTCATCCTCTTAGCCTAAATCATTCGGAAAATACAAAGCAGTAACTCTGTGATTTGATAGATTTAAAAAAAAAAAGAACTTATCTTAAAGTAACTTTACAAACAGTATTAAAAAGAGAGCAGAGATAAATTTCTGGTCTGGGACTACCAGATAGCCACTTTGACAACACAGGAAACCAGAACATATGGGATGAGTTTTACACTTGGGAGGGGTGGAGAAAGGGTGGACATGATCATGTAGTGGTGCTTGTAAAGAAAAGGAATCTGAGTAGTACAACAAGAAGGACAGTATCATTTTAACAGAAATTTCAAACTATAGGTGAGTCACTATCTACATACAGGTCATCCAGATTTTATAATGAGAAACATTTATTTATAGAAGAGCTTATAGGAGTGTCATCTTTGGAGCTAATTTCTAGGAGTATCTCACAGATTCACCTGAGAATTTGCCTGAGAATATGTGATTTCTCTAGAACTTCTAATCATCAATTACAACAATATTGCAAATACTCCATCATAATGATGAAAATGTGCCTGTGCGCATGCACATGCTTAATATATTCATACTTAAAATGGAAAAGGTTCACAAATACTAGGTCCATGAAAGACAATTATCCACGGCTGGATTACAATACCTCTTCAATCAGCTTAGTATTTGACTTTTCTAATGAGTCAACTCTTGAATGGAGACTGCTGACTGTGCTGCTGAAATTAATAAAGAAAAAACTCATTCAAATCACACAAACTCACAAAGGCAAAAAAAGTATGTTATCCTGGACTTAATGTGTTGACTAACAAGTACCAATTGCCCTGAATTTTTTTTTTTTTTTTGAAGGTTAACTAATCCTTCTTTTCCTTGTTTTTGTTTTTTTTTTTTTTTAAGTTTTTATTTCAATTCTGGTTAGTTAACAGCCCTGAATTTTTGGGTGTAGGAAATTTCATTAAGTTGGATAACTTCATTTGCCTAGGACAGCAATAAAGACTATAGAAAAGTAATCACTTCTGTTAAAATTACATTTTACGCCGCTCATTACTTTTGTTGTGTTCTTAGAGTCCTTCTTACATTTAACTTATAATACTAAGAAATGGATTCCACACAAAGATCATCAAATATTGTTAAAACTAAATTCAAAATTATTTTTTAATGGATGAACTTTAAATATCTACTTTATAAGTGGCTTAATGACGCTTACACAGTGGTCTCCAACACAAACCTCATTCAGTTTCCCCTATCCACTTTCATAATAACTTAGAGACCTCTAAAGTCACCTATAGTTTGAGAACTGTGAATACCATATACACATCAGGTACCTGGACAACCTGCAGCTAAGCAAACACCCTGACTTTCAAAGATATAGTTGAAAGTCATGTTATGCCACATGAACAACTTGGTTTTTTGCATTTTTATTTAAACTGATCAAGACTGAACATTATTGTACATTTTATTGAGTCTATTTATCAACGCCTTGATTCTACCATCTCAAACTTAATAAGACATGATATGCTGTATATATTAAAATAAAATCTATAGTAGATTTCAGCACATTTTATACATTTCAGCACATTTTATTCAGCCTCAGAAATAAATGTTGGTATTTTAGCGTAACTGGTGAAACAAAAAAAATGTTTTTTCATTCATATTGAATCATTTTTAATGTTTTTATTTATTTTTGAGACAGAGAGAGACAGAGCATGAGCAGGGGAGGGGCAGAAAGGGAGGGAGAGACAGAATCCAAAGCAGGCTCCAGGCTCTGAGCTGTCAGCACAGAGCCTGACAAGGGGCTTGAACTCACGGACCATGAGATCATGACCTGAGCTGAAGTCAGACGCTTAATGGACTGAGCCACCCAGGCACCCCGAATCATTTTTAAATATAAT